GCATTCCGCAAGTTCATGGTTGAGGACCCGCGGCGTATCAAATCCGCTGTGGAAATGGGATCAGCTTGCTTCACTGATGACGGCAAGGTGCAACCGTGTTTGGAGTATTTGACACCTGCTCGCGGATTCACTCACCCCAGCCTTCAAGCCGCCTGCCTACCCTTTTCAACAAATTGGCTCTTTTCTGCCTTTAAAGAACAATACCCTGATTTAGATGCTAATTCTGCAGAGATTCAGGCGGTAGTCATTCAGCTGGCCAAGGTATTGGTGTGGTCTGAGGACATCATCTCCCGTTTTCAGGGAGTTGAGGTGATAGCAGTCAATTCTCAACCCAAGGCACTTTTGGTTTACCTGCATCCTGTGCACCCAGATATCAACTTGCCCCCTCCGCGGAGTGTTGTGGCTTGGACCCACAACACTGGAGTAGCGGCAGCTGCAATGATTCTGAAAGAAGGGATTGTGCGACCCTCATGCTGGGACCCCTCTGATGATAGCTGGTTGCCGACGTGTGGGTTCTATTCAAGGGCGCATGTGGCAGAAAATTTCTCAGACTATGCATTCAGGGCTGCTCTTATATGCAGTACGCGCAAAGCTTGGGGCTACGGGGATATATGCCAGCCTCGATCAGTAGCAGTTTTCGGGAAGGCGCATTTGCGTCAGCCCCATTACACAGTCAAGCAAGGAGGTGTGCTCGCGGAGCACGCTGCAAACCTCATGTTTGATTGTGTCCACGGAACAGGAGACAAGAGATGGCTAATTAAGTCACATCTTGCTCAATGCTTAGGGCTGGCGGCGTTTGTTCCCAGGCGGTGAACCTTTATCAATGTTGCTTTCTTGACATGTGTCAATGTTGCTTTCTTGACATGTGTTAAATGTAACACCTACTTTGGCTACACGTGGCCTGGAGCAGCGCAAACCATGACCAACTTGGAACGTAAAGAAAAGAAAAGTAATTTGGCTCTCGTGTCGTTTGCGGTCAGACTGTCACTTCACATGTCCATGCGTTTGGCTTGCTGGTTTTGAAGACCAGTCTTGCTGCGTTGCTGCGAAATCTGCCAGAGGGCGTTTGAATTGAGATGTCATAAAGCATTGAAACCGCTGTGAATTGAGATGACTTTTACCTTATCATAAGTGGTTCGAACCCAGCTAGCACTTGTCCCCCAGTTGTTTCATAGAAATGGGCCGTGGGGATTCACGCTCTCGAACCAGAGAGCGCCGGAGCCATAATAAAGGGCAGTCATCGCGTCGCTCTACCAGAGACCGGGGCAACAAGGAGTCTAAGGCTCAGGGTTACGGTGGCCGGGCCCGCAGTCCTTCTCGGCGCTCTCGTAGCCCTCGGGGCCGGGAGCCAGTGGACAGGCGACGACCGGGCACTGCTGGACCTTGGGAACGGCAGTTCCCAATCCCAAGGGAGTGGCGCCCAGATGATGCTCATCTGGACACGCAGCTTCAGCATGGATTGTCACTGCCACGGCTAGTGGCCTCCACAGCTTACAGTCGTGCCAATGACACGGCCGGACTGCCAGTTCAGGATGTCAAATTCTACCAGCTGTTGCACGGCGCCCAAGAAAACTGGTTAATGCGGTTGCTCGCCAATGGACGCAACCTTGCGGTGGAAGCTTTCCGAAGTCGCCTGGAGGCAGCTTTTGCTTCCCAACTGGTTCGCGCCATGAGAGACAGTGACATCGTGGATTTGACCAAACTGTTGTCCCATGAAGCTGGTAATTCAAGTGATGATTGGAGTGTTCGGCTGAATGCCATCAAGTCATGTGTCCCCAAGATCATCAAGTTCATGGCAACATTGATGCCGGCTGACACGGCCACTGCTTTGATGGCAGAGTTGGAGATGCTTCGGGCGGAAAACCAAACACTTCGAGGCAATCGCGACGCCCTCCCCGCACCCAGTGGCCCGGAACCAATCTCCAATCCTCCCAAGCCTGACAACCCTTGCGAACCCTCTGCTTCTGCATCCCAGAGACCCTTGGCGGCCTTTTCAGTGGGGTCCTCGCGCCCTACTTTGGAACAGCATCGCCCGACTTCGCACACCTCTGGGGCCTTGAATGCATGGATGAAAAAGCACCTTCCCAAAGACAAGTTGAACCAGGTTGACCAACAAGTTCAAGTTCTGGAGAAACAGATTCAGGACGCAGGGATCGATGCTCCAGCAGTTGACAGGATGCTGATCGCATGGGGGTTGGATGTGCCCACGGCTTCAAAGATGAACCAGCAGACTCTACTCCGTCTTTTGGCTGCTGTAAACCTTCTTCGGGAGTGATTGGCAGAACAAATTCGCTCAGGGCAAGACCCTTTTAGTTCTAGGCGCTCCACAGCAGAGTCCATTGTTTGGGCATTTTTGATGGTATCTGGTGCGATCTATGCTTCAGTGTTACGTTTCCTACCAATGAGTCTAGTGCATCGCTTTCAATGGTTGCGCGGCACTATGATGAGATGTTGGATCTTACACTGGGCCCCTCGGTCGGACCGGTTTTCCTCATTGCGACTTATACTTCAACACGAACTTGTCGGGTCTGAACTGAACGATTGGTCGCACTACAATTTTCAAGGAGTGGTGTATGTAAGAGCCCACTGCGGTAGACAGCCGTGGTATGTGGGCTGCACTACTCTTTCCTTACATGAGAGAGAGCAGAGTCGCGTTCGAAAATTCAGACAGCTGCAGAATGATCGTTTAGCTTTCTATGAGCCAGCATTACGGTGGTGGAAGGCCACAGGGACCTTTTACGAGTACATTGTTATGCCAGTTGCTCTTCGAGAATGTGAAGTGCGCTCCTCTGAACTGTCTTTGCAGTTATTATACCACCCCAAACTAAACTGGCCATGGATATCTCCTTTATTGAAGAAACTCGGACTACGTGCTCCTACTTACACTTTGAACGTAACCCACGCAGGGGTCATTGGGTCTCAGCTTCAGCGGCGCTTTTCGCGCTTGATGCGCAAGCGCCTTAGCTGCGGAACAATGTTCCGCCTTCGAGATCAGGAAGCTGTCTTGCGCCTTCTGCATAACTTGGGGAGTGAAGGAATAGCCAAGTTCCATGTGTCCCGCTTGTTGCGTTCTAGCTCCACTTCGCTGCATTTACTTTATTATTTAGCTAGAATGACGCAACATATGAGCGAACCTTGGCGAGCTCGAGCCATAAGCCAACTCCGATTGATCCTGGAGTTTAGAGGCGGAACTCTTCCAGTTGCCAACAAGGTTCTTCGACTTCTTCCCGTCCAGCCGGCGTTTATTGCTGTTGCTCAGGCATGGCTGAAGGCTTTTTGTATTCAACACCGAGTATTGTTTCCACCACTGCATGTTCCGCGAAGTCCTATTTGTGAAATACGGTGTATGTCGTTGGAACGAGCCTTGTTCAATTTCCATTCATTCCTGCGCACTTGGGCGCCGGATTTCGAGCCAGAGTGCGTGTGCCGGCCATTTCGTGAACGAGTTCCTCATTCGGCCATTTCAAAAGCTACTGGACATGTTTGCGGTTTTGGTAGTGACATTTGGCCCAGTGAGCAATTGTCGTGGGCGCATTTGCAGGACTCCATCTGGCCCACCTGGCGTAATTTCTTTTCGCACAATTCTTTGCAATTTTCTGCATGGCTGCAACATTGGAAGTTACCCTGCAGACTGATTCATTACTGGAATCAATTTCTGCATGAACGTTGGAAGCAGCATGTGGCTTCTGTTGATACGGCGGACCGGTGTTTTTGGGCTTTCCATGAGATTTGCAAATTTCAAAACCTCACTGACGGATGGATTCGTGGGCCGGCGGACCATTTCCCTCATTGTCTCGCGATTGTTTGCCCCTCACATTATCATTGGTTGCTTCATCGTACTTTTCTGGATGTTGAAGTTTTCCGTCAATTGTATGAAGGCCCGATGACCATAATGTCAAGACTTCCACAGTTTGTGCCACGCCAACTTGTGCGACAATATTCTTGGGGATGGGCCATGCAGGGTCAGCTACCATACGCATACCTGCTTCCGAAGCCAAGCCGTGGGTGGGACAAGGCCCGGCCAATTGTGAGCTACCGCAAGGCATGGTGCTCCAAGATCGGGCAAGCCATTTCTATTCTGCTCTTGGTAATTTTGGAAACCGTCTTCCCCAAGGAAGTCAATACCCAACGAGTCGATGTCATTCTTCGGTCTATTTGGCGCATCTTTTGCCAAAACCATGTCGAGTCTGAAATCCTTTTAGACCAGCAGGACCTGGCTGGTTTTTACAACCATGTGGAACACTGTCGCATCCTGATGTCCGTGCAGTTCTTGATTTGCAGATACGCCTCCTTGCAGGATGTTTCTCTTGATTCAGATTTTTCCGTCACAGTTCAGCACGCCGAAAGAATACAACGACTGTTTAAAGGCAAGTGGCGACGATTTGGGTCTACTCATCGGGTCGTTCGTCTCGGCGATGTGGTTCCTATCGTTGACACTTTGTTACGACTCAGCTTTTTCAGCATCGGTAGGTTTGTCTTTCAGCAAACATGTGGCGCGTCCATGGGATCCCAGTGGGCGCCAGTATTATGTTCAGCAGTTGCAGTCTTCCGGGAGTGGACCTTTACTCAGGCACTTGTGAATTCTGGCACGTGGGTTCAACATTCTTTTCTCACTAGATACGTGGATAACCGTATCATGGTTTTGGTCAACACTACGCCTTCGAGCACTGACCATGATATTTTGCGTTGGCCTTACTTTTACGGGCGGCCACTGGTGCTGGAGACCGTGATAGATGACATTGCACTCGGCTTTCGTATTGACACCCGCCAACGATCCATTACCTTAAAACTTCCCACCATTCCTCAGTTGATCCGAAGTCACCGCTCTGCTGGAGCAGAAGGGGCTATTCTTTCAGGCTTTCGGGCACGAATGTTATTGGTGTGCCGTTTTGTCCGGCCCCGAAGACTGATCCCTTATCAAGCGCAAGATCTTGCAGCTATGTATTGCGCACGGGGAGTCCCGCTTCGGCTCTTGCGACCAGCCATTCGAGACTTATTGGAGAGGTTCCAGCTTTGGAATCCTGAAGTTTCTATGCTCTTCCATCATCTGCCTGAAATGGAGTAGTGCAGAAGCGGGCGACCCATTTTTAGCCCGAGGCATGGTAATTCTCAAGTTTCACTAAGCATTCATTGACAAGCAGAAGCATGGAAAATGTCCAACAGCTTTTCGGACTCAGACACGGACAAAGACCCATTATTTTGGAATAGCGGCTCTATTTTCGATGCTAGATTTTGCCTGTTTACTCAAACAAAGACGACTTTTTCGGTTTGAAGCCACTCCGGAAACTAAGGCTGTCTACTAAGGCCACGGGTAGCTCCGCCCTTAACGGGTGCGCATTCAACGATGCCAAGGTGCATTTCTCGGTTGGTTTTGGTCGTCCATCCCCTGCTCAGCAACTCGTTTCACTGAGGAGGGCCCGTTTTCGCCCCCTCTCAAGCGAGGGCCACGGGGGGGGCCTGCCATCCTACCGTTTATCCTGGCCGTTTGGCGTGGGTGTGTGCGTGTGTGGGTGTGCGTCCCCTCCCCTCCTCAGCAACCGTTTTGCTGAGGAGGGCCCGCCTTCGCCCCCGCCTCCCCTGTGGTTCTCTCGGGTGAGGGCCATGGGGGCCCGCCATCCCGGCCGTTTTGCGTGTGTGTGGGTGGGTGTGTGTTCAAAAGAAACAACAAATGCGCCCTTTTTCTCCCCTTTTTTCGGCAAGATTGAGACACCAGGGGCCCTTTCTCCTTCAGAACTTCCAGTGACAGTTTACCAGCAGTGCTCCTGCGGGAGCTGTTGTGTGTGTGACAACCCAAACCAGTCGAGGGATAGCTATGCTAAACATATCCTGAAAGCAGGGGGCCGCCGGGGGAATGCGCAGTCGGCGGCCAACGAAGACGCTGCGCATTCCCCGTGGAAACGTACCTGCGAACCGCACCTGGGCCCCTGACGGCAGCTGGTGGGTTCCCTCTCAAACAGATTCCAACTTAAGGCCTGGGACATCCACAACCTCTTTTCGCTTTTCAAACTCCATCTTCAGTGTGTGTCAGCGCGCCGTATGTGACGTGCGTTTGTGTGTTCTGTGTTTTGTTGTTGCTTGTTTCCCTGCTTGCCTGGCTGCCTGCTTGTTTGTTTGTTTGCCCGCCAGCCCGCCTGCCCGCCCGCCTGCCTGCCTGCCTGCCCGGTTTGTTTGCTTGTTGGTCGGTTGGTTGGTTGGTTGGTTGGTTGGTTGGTTTGATTGCTTGTTTTCCCCATTTGTGTTGCAAAGTGTGGGCGCAATGATGATGATTCATGGTGGCCAGTTGCTGCGCTAACGACTTTCCCCCTGCCAAGGTTTTCAACGGAGCAGCAGGATCGCTTCCATTGCGGAGGCGCATGCAGAATGCACCGCTCGGAGAGTAGTAGCGACGAGGGTTTGCTTGTAGACAAACACTAAAACTGCCCCGAACATTGGAATTTCCCGGGGGCCTTCAAGGGGACCTATTTGGAGACAAAACATGAGTTAGCCCAAGCATTGTGCAAGGTAAGATGACAACACAAGGAGTTTCAATGTGTACTGAGGACTTTGAGTGGAAGAGGGCAAACCAGTTGGGAGAGCCAGGTGCTACCCTCGATCGTGATCTCTGAAAAACATTTGCAGTCATTGCTGGAGTGTTCTGGCGTTGTTCATGTGTCATGGAGCTAAGTCACATCTGCAAGCTCAAGCACTTGCAGCATCGCACCCGATTGAACGGTGAGCAAAGTGCTTCTCTCAATGGCTTCCCACCTGATTAACGAGGAGGTTCACTGTAAATCCTTGAGCCTTTAGGGGAGTATGTTTTCTCTTTGTTTGAGGAATTCCTTCCCCAAACATTTTGACCAACCCTCCATCCCAAGTCCTCCGAACCTCCCCCAACCCCTCTTCAATCTGCCCAATCCCTCTGAACCTCCCCAACCCCTCTCCCCAAGCCCCCATCCAAGCAATGACGTTGGTAGGTTTTGAGTTAGGCTAACTGCTTGCTGGAGATCCCCAGCGGCTCCGGCGTCATCCCTCAGGGCCAGGCGAGAGAGAGTAAGAGAGAGAGCGAGAGGGAAGCCTTGGGACCAATCAGCGGGCATATGCTTAGCTAATCCCATTTCGGTATCCTATGGGAAGCCAAAGGGAGGGTTGGTTTTCCGAAAATGGTGTCGGGAACGGGCAACTGTTTTTTCCTCAATGTGAAATGTGGGCATGTGTTCGTCGGAGGTTACCTTTCTGGTTAATTTCTACCAGGATCTGGGCTGGTAAACCCCAAGAGGTACTGAATTCGATTGGATTACTGCTTGCCGTGGCTAGTTGCTCCGGGTTCTGAAATCTTGCGCGGTAAGCCATCGCACCTTCACATGACCTCACCCAAGGGTTAGGATACTTTCCGGTGAGTTTCTTTTAGTTTCCATGGGCTCATTTTCTTGGGCCACGGTCGGCTGATCGCCTTACGACCCAAATGAAGGGATCGTCAAAGTTGTTTTTGTTTAGGCAAGCTAAAAAAACATGGCACCTCCCATTTGCATGTTCCGTTGAAGTGCCTTGTGATGGTTTTGCGGGCTACAACAAGTCTCAACCTGATGCGGTGTTGTTGCTTTCAGGAACACCTGGCCTGGGTTTTTTGAGGACTTTCTGCATACTTGTTCTATATCTAGCTTCTTGGGTTCTGGCTTGGTTCCATACAAACCCCCATTCTGATGATTCAGGCACTTCAAGATAGGGGGCTAAAGTGTGCGCAATCTTTATCAGATGATAACTTCCTTGGATTGTTTGAGTACCCGGGTCGTTTTCCATTGCCAGGTGGTAAAGGCGCTCCTGCTGCCGGGAGAAGGCGGGGGAGGAAATAGTGATGGACAGAATCCAAGCCCACCAGGGTTTTGTCCCTCCCAGCTGGCACGAAGAGCATTTGGTCCAGTATTATTGCAGCTTCTGAAGGGGTCCATGCCGACCATCCTCTGTCCAGTTGTGGTTGTCTTGTTCGAGGGTGTTATGACAAGAACGGTCTTGTGCAAGGTTGTTTTTTGAGGGTGCTACAAAGCCATACGTATGTGCACAGATTGAGGAGACCGCGCAAAGGGTGGGTTACGGAGGTTCTCCCGCGCGGGATTTCCATTCGGTACAGCAGTTGCTCACTTCTGTCCAGAACTACGGAAACGCAGATCCAGCGTTTTGAGCTTGCCACATTTGCACTTTTGCATTTTTTCTGTGTACAGTGCCCAGATTCAGTGTATGCAGTCAAAGCATTCATGTCTTCAGTTGGACAGCCCACACACCGCAGCCTACACAGGGTTTGTGCTGAGTTGTTTCGCGCGAAAAGGATGTTGGGATTACATATTCCCGTTTGCAGCATGGTTGATTGCCGCAGGGGGCCTTTTATAGCAATCCAGCTTCTGTTGGATGATCATTTTGGGTGCTCCCTCATCCCTCCTTCACAAGGTGGGGGGGTTGAAGGCTCGAAGAATGTCCCAATTTGATCTGCATTGCTTGAAGTCAATTCATTTACCACCCAGCACCCAGCATTCTTTGCCAGACCAGGGGGCAGCACATAGCTCTGTGCAAACAACACCTGCGGGTGAGACACGGCGGACGCGCGCCAGGCCTGCGCCCAGAGCCCGAGGGCTTCCCCCGCAAGGCGCGGAAGGCCGAGCCCGCACCAAAAGTGGACAGGCGGGGAGCTGGAACCGACTTGGACCACTGGGCCTTGCCTCACCGTTTGTTGCGGCGTCCTTCATTTTTCCTCAACTGCAAAAAGTTGACCCTCTGCAGAGCGGCCTACGTCCGGCCAAGTTAGGTGGGGCAACGGTTTCCCCTTCAAACCACCCAAAAAGGGACTTCCTGAAACCTGAAATCTGGTTTTTGGGAGCTACCCTACAGCCTGACCTCAGCACTTGGCATCAACTAGAGTGGGTTGATTGGAAAGAATACGAGGTTCCTTGTCAAATTGTCCCGTAGTGCAGCTCAACTTGAGAGACACGGGAAACGAGCTCCAACATGTTCAGTGGGGCAACAGTAAATGTTGGCCGTGGCTCTCGTGGAACCTGAGATTAGGACCCTCCAGAGCGGATTGGTTTGAGACGCCCCACAGCTGAATTGCCCTGATCAGACCTGGTGTTTAGCTGGGCGAGTTTGAGGTGCGACGTTGGGGAAACCAATGCGCTTGGGGGCTTCCCTGCTGGCTGACTTCTGACCTAAAGGAAACCACCCAAGAGGTGCGGGAGTTTGAGGTGATTGATTTCTTTCTCCAAACTCAAGGGGTGCATCATTTTGCACGATGTCAAAGACATTTTGGCTCATGTTGGGCGAACCCCTTGGACTAGACCGCCAGATGTGCCCCGGTGAAAGCAGATTTTACCGTGTTTGTGGGGAGCATCGTTTGGTAATGGCTGGCACTCATTCAGGGGTCAAACAACTAAGCGCTCACGGAATGCACCCCACGAAAAGGGGGGGTCAGCGGTATCATGGAACCGCGACGGGGAATTATTGTCCGCAGGCGCAACCAACAATGCACTTCCTGTTGAAGTTGGCAACCCTTGAATGGCACAAAGTGGCACTTTTGAGAGTCAAAGACCACTATTTAGTTCTGGCGAACTCGCATGGCTGTAAAACGGCTCATGATGAAGGTCTGTTACTTTGGGGTGGACTTAACTCAGGTTGGTGAATTACCCCCCACTAAAAACGTGGAACTGCACATGCCCCCGCATGAAAAGGAACGTAGGGCACTTCGATGTTGGCTGGAGGGAGGGTGCCATCATCAATGCACCATTTGCTTGGACCTCCGCACGAATTGAGATGCTACATTGACATGCATCTTTTCTAATTGTACGTCTTCACGCAATATGGTTGCCAGGATACAACCTAAGTTTCTGCTTGGGGCCCAGTTCCATGTCTAGAGGACACGCCTTTCGCGCAAGACCATGTCGAGGTGCTGTCCCTTGCCCTCGCAAGGCCGCAGGAGCCAAAGACTGGGCTGCTGGTTTTGGGCGACGCGGAGGCGCACATCTGACTTGGGAAAACTGACCCTTGGGGACTGAACAAAGGGCTCACCTGGAAGGTTCGTGACAAGAGTGTGTCTTTTTTTGAGGGCTCCCTTTTTGGCTGGTTTTAATTTAACGGGGAACTAAATGAACAGCCACTATTTTAAGGGGCTCCCTTACTTTGAGACAAACCCATACATACGTTTTAGGAATTCGCCTTGTTGGTTCTGTTCGATGTTGCGGGCTGCCAGGAACAACGTTTGCTTTGCTTCAGGTTGGATAAGGAGCTCTACTTTCTCCTCCAGCAGCCTGCTGACAAACACCAGGGGTTGAATGGAGCCAGAGTGAAAAGACTACCACGCCACCCTCGTGGTGCAGATTGATCGAAGCACCTCGCCTGGTTATTTGAGGGTAACTGTTAGGTAATGTAGTGGTGCCTCAAAATTCGCAAATTGCTTTCAATCGCAGGGGCCAGCAAAAGGATTCCATTTGTTTGAGGGACCATGACCCATGACTATGGCCCACATAAGGCACCCTCGGTATTTTTCCAGGTAGATTCCGTCTACTTACTAGCCTCCAGTTTGTTCTTTTCCTCGGCACCCGGGACAAAATCTGACTTCTGAGGCTAATAAGCGGGGCTCAAGGTCTGAAATTTCCTCTGAATTGGAGGCGGGTTCGTCCACCAGCACAATTCGAGGAGAGTGTGTCTTTCTTTTTTTTTGGTGCGTGTGTTTTCTTTGGGGGGGCCGGTGTTCGAGGTTTTTTGGTTGGCACCCGCTTGTTGGAGTGATGATTGCAGGTTGGAAATAGGCTACACCAGGGTGAAAGTAGATGGCACAATTCCCTTTATGTGGCGTAGTCAAGGGGATGATGACTAAACCAAAAGGGTTCGAATCATGCCATCTACTGTTACCCAACCGTGGGGATACTGTTGCGCAAATTCCCAGCAACAGTTGAAATAGATGAACCACTGTGAACACTCATGGAAGCTGACAGGATTTGAAAGGCCACCTTCCTCTCCACTTCCACGATGGTTGGAATTACCATCGAGCACCGTCCATCAGGGCCTCCGGAACCTCCGCCCGCAGCTGCTGGAGCGACGCCCAAAAGAGGCGCTTGGGAGGGGCCCCTGCTTATCAAACGCGATGTTTGGCGGACGCTGGAGTTGGATCTGGGAGTGTTTTTTTGTTTCCTCAAAATGGTGAGGAAGCCCTTTGTGTTGTGCTAACCCGAAATCGTTGCCATGTTGGGCGGATGTTGGGCGGTTGTTGGTCTTTGTGTGAGGGTTCCCTTTTTGGCCCTTAAAGGGAAGGCATAGTTTCAAAGGCAAACCACCCCTTTTGGGTGTTCCCTTAGATCTCAGGCCTTTTTCTGCGTGTTCCCTTAAGTGGTTGTGGGAGGTTCTCCAAATAGCGAATTTCCGCATTTTTCGTTGGTTGAGGGCGGGCCTGGGAGGAGTTTGGAGAAGAAACACACATATTTCCTGGTAACTCCGTCCACAGCTTGAGCCCATGCACGGATGGGCATCCAAATTCTCACTGGGCGAAGCATGTGAGAAACTGGGCTTAGGTTGCCAGGGCCCGTTCGGGCAGCACTCACCTCATCACCCGAGCGGGCGCCTGGAGCACGTCAACTTGCTGCCGCTCGAAGCTTTCCACTCGGTGGAAATAGATGGCCTCGCGTGCCACTACAGCAAGGGATGGATACGGCGAGAACCAAAATGCAACCTAGCCCTTTCGCAACAGCATGAGGTTGCGTCAAAGCACCGCCCACAACAGGTCAGGGATTGTAAAGTGTTGTGGGGAACCCCCTTGTTCTAGGCCGCGTTGATTCTGATGAGCTTTCGGGTTTGTACTTCCTTTTGGCCAAATTTATCCAGCTGGCACCTCGGCCTATGTGTCCCCTCTGTGTGGTTTTAACCATCACTTGTTTGGCCCCTGTACGGTGAGCTTCGAGAGTGATGTTGTAAGGTGAATCTTAGGGAACCCTGCTTTCTATGATACCTTTGACCACCCCTTAAAACTGACACAAGTGCTCAAGGATGGCCCACATGCACACAGAAAGGCGTATTTCCCACAACCATGAAAACTGGTGGTGGTCCACTGTTGGCTTGGAGGAGATGGGGGATGATGGGGGCAAAAGACAACATGAACATGAAATGCACAGTACCCCATATGTTCTACCGCTTTAAACATGTGTATTTGGTTCTTTGTGTTAACAAAACGAGATTATGACATGTATGGGCGTTGTTTGTCAAGTCTTTGTTTCGACATCCCCAGTTGGAGATGTGGGTTAACAGTCGAAGACCACATGCCTAGCAAACATGCTGGAAGGGAGTCCCTTTGTTGTGGTTTTCCGATTAATTGGGATGAGGACTGTGGGCCAACACGCCGTTTCGACTGCCCAGCTTTAATTCCTAGGGTAGGAATGATTTGGTGGGCGTTTCTCCGGTCGTGAGGCCAACGCAGCGAAGGAGGTGGTGGAAAGATGGTGCCGCCAGGAGGGCGGTTTTCCGTTTGTCGCCAGGCAACCGCAGGTTTTGTCTGCCTACTCTTTCCATTCAGCTGCGTTCCATTTGTTGGTCTATTTTTGAGCCACCGCCATTCTTTGTTGTTCAAGCGCTTGCCAGTTGATGAAATTTTGGCCCAGGTCCCAAGAGGTCAGCTGATCACCTTTTATTTTCAGGTCAACTTGGGAGGATCCCTTTGCAAATCAGATGCCTTTGGGATGTATATGCGTGTGTCTTGTTGGGAAACCCGGGGCATTACATGTGGGTGTGTCTCTTTTTGAGGTGACGCTTTTTGGGGCTTCTTGGTTCTCTGAAAGGAAGGTAAGGAAGCCGGTTTAATCAGAGAACTGCCCGGAAGCCGCTGGAGGGCCAAAAAGCCAATGAGTTTATTTTTATATGTTGTCCCAGAAGGAAGTTCAATGGGGTTGGACGAGCTTTAGGTTTTGCAGGTGTTGTTTGCACTGTTCAAAGGTTGATCGTACTGATCTATGTAGTTGTTGGCCTCTTGGTGACTGATTTCCCCACAATGACGCCATGTTAGTGGTTACTGCGCCCAAAAACCAAGGGTTTACCCCACGGTTTCACATCTGGCCAATTGGAAGTACCCTCGATCTGAATTGCATAGAGGAAGGTCGGGCATGTGACCAGTCAACAAGTCATGCCGTCAATCAGCTAGCAATACTCTGCCATGTATTGGGCAACGCTCGCCTGGCAGTAAAGCCTGTTTAGCCATGATGAAGGCAGTTTACTCGCGGATCCTTGTTTGTTTGAAGGCTTGGCAGAAACTAATGGCCTCTTCTTGCAAGCTTCCAAATGGGGTTTGCAACCTCACCCATGACGACGGTTCATTGTCATATGGCCCCCGTATTGCAGGTTGGTCATAGTGACACCCAGATTGTGAACTTATCACTCCCTGGGTCCGTGAGTTTCTGAACTTTCTGCATTTTGGACGTCCATTTGAGTGGCAGGCAACAATATTTGTTTGGCCGGTCTCAAGAGAGATGTCGACATGTTCTCACGTGCAGGACGCCGACGCCTGCGACCTCGTGGTTGTGCTTTTGAGCTGCAGGGAACGTGGGCGGATGTCGAATGAGGCACCCTCCCCATTTGGGAATCCAAATTTGCCTATTATGGCGGGCTCATAAGTTCGGGGGATGATGCAGGTCCTTTCTCAGGGGTTCCTTTATGCCAGGCTTGAAATATGTAATTGCGAGGTTTGCAGAAGTTATGAGTGCCAAATTAATCCGAGGACTCTATCAAACTGAATGATTTCTCCGGAAATCTCGCCCCCAAAACTATCAACCTGGTGGAATGTATTGGGAGGCTGTTCCCTCAGAGCAAAGAATTGCCTTTAAAGAGGCTCAGCCTCCAATTACTCAAGTAGAGGTCAATTCATCCTGGGTTCACAGTGAGAGGGATGTCGCGTCAGCTCGCAGAAATCGAGCCGTTGCCAGCCATGGCCCCTTCGGCGGCTTCTTTTTCTCTACCTCCCTGGACCCCGTTCCTTTGTTTGTTAACTCATTTGTTGCAGCCCTGACGTACGCTGGATGCCCGACGCATTGCAAGGAACAAGCTAGCCTGTGTCTGACGACGAAGCATCGTGGGCTTGCGGTTGGACGCATGCATTGTTCAGAGACTCAGGATGAGTTCGACCAGTGCATTTGCCAATGGCATTTGCGAAGGGTAAAAGTGGGGGCCGTCTTCGGATGGTTTCCCTTCAAATCAAAACAATGCCAAAACTGCTGCCCTGAGCCAAAGGGCACATCCAAGCCACTGTTTAGTATAGCGGTTTCTGAACAGCACATCGGTTAGTTGTTTAGTTTCCTCTATTTTGCCAGACCCCCTGTTCGGGAGTCGTCCGAAGCGTCCCAGTATTCAGATACGAAGGGCAAGAGCTGTTGGTCTTAGTGTTGCCCCCAGGTCGCGAAAGCTACTTGATTTATCCCAAAAGTGTTGCGTTAGGGTGCTTTGCGAAAAGGAAGGCGCCATGATGAACCATGTGTGTTTGCCGGCAGTGCGCGCAGAATGCACACAGACTAAAGTTGGTTGCAGGAAAGCACAGCCTGAGGATTGCCGCAAGAACGCGTTGCTGCAGAGCAACCCCCAACAGAAAGCAGTGTGTTGGAGTGTTGAAGCGTTCGGGTCTAGCTGAGCGCAACTTCACAGCCGGATTTGCAGCAATTTTGGGCCCAAGATCCGGGAAACTTTTCGCGAAAGTTGCTCAACCCGCCAGTTCCGGACAAGCGTGGCCTCCTGTGCTGCTGCACGGCTTTCGAGCTGTGGTTGCGGAAGTACACTTCGTGGAACGGACAAGTTGCGACTTTCGAGCGGGGCTGCAGCAGTTTAAATTTTAAATTGTACTACTACCTTCGTACTGGCTTTCAAGCCGGGGCTGCGGAGGAGTACTCGTGCACCGTTTGTGTAATGCCGCACGAAGCTCCGCGATGGTGGTTGTGAAGTTTTTTCTTCGCGAAGATTGCGCTTCCGGAATCAGTTGCAGGCAACCGGCATTTTTGCGCAGTCCACTTCAGGTCCACACAACACAGGCTAAGCGGCTGTAAACCTTGGGGCTGAGGTTGGCAAATCTCGGACTTGGATCAGCAGATGCGGAGGTGCTGGCTGCTCTGTTGGTGGCTTAGCTCGTCGGCTGCTGGTCCGAAAACCTGAAAACCATGACAACCAAAGAGTTGCGAAACATTGTCGGGTGCGACCCGCCAAACTGGTGGTTGTCCAGTTGGTTGCCCTTCAAAACCTCCAAAGCAGGGGTCACCCCAAAAACAACACCCACCTGGGGCCCTTTCACTTCCTTGTGGCAGGGTTTGGAGCAGCCCGCTGATAGTTTTCACAAAACCACCCTTTGACCTGAAGTCTAAGCGCGAGCCAGGGCCTGTGCTCGCAAAGTTTCACCAGTGATTGCTGATTTTAACCTGGTGCCTGTTTGTTTTCCATCATGTGCATGGTATGGATTCGGATTTGAGGGAGCACCTCTTATTGCTGGACCCGAGGCTTGGAATGGACCATTTGTTTGGAGATCTCATGTTGCAAAGCGCAGTGGAATTTGACCGGCAGAGTGACTCTTGCAGGCGGCCCAAGCCACGCTGGGAGTTTGAGGGGACCCTCCCGCGAAGAGTGGATACACGTAAGTAGTGAGTGCATGCTATGTGGTGGAGCCATAACCAAGGGCTATCTAAACTTGGATTTGTTGACATGTAAGGTTTACGATAGATGCATCAGAGTCAGACATACTGCATTTGTTTTTTGGTTTGTGGGGCAAGGATAGCTCAATTTGAACCCCTTTCGGGTTCCATCTAAAGGTATTCCAAAGAGAAGCCGCCAGCAAACCAAAAATATTCAAACAAGAGCAGACAAAAAACAACATGTTTGTCGTTTCGCCGCATGGCTTGGCCAAACCCGGCAGCTGACGTTTGCACTTTGCTGAGGCGTAGTTGTCTGGACAAGAGCTGCGCCAACCTAGAGGCGTGTCGCACGGTGTGGGGGGTGGATGGTGGTTCAGCGAGTAAGCCTTCTTGTTGTTCCTGGAGCCTGGACCAACGAAATTGATATCCAATCTTGTGAAACAGTCGTCGTGTTGCCATTTGGATTGAGGTACCACGAGGTGCAACACGCTTGGAGTTTGGGGTTTTGTGGCAGGGATACTTGAGACTGCAGCATGTCCAAATTGCCAACAGCCGTCAGTAAAACAGAATTGGGGAGATACAAAGGTTGATTTTGGGGCTGGAAATGTCTTAGCTACCCTTGATTCATACCCTCGCCTGAAAACGCACACGCAAATGAGCCATGGTCAAAACTCCTTTTCTCCTTTTCGCGATTACCCGAGTCGAAGGCTGCCGGTCGGCGTCCTTCGCGGAATGAACCAAAGGGGCTTAGCCCCAAAAACGGTGTAGCCCTCTGGCGGGCGCCTGCACAGTCATAGCAGCATCGGAAGCTGCGACCGGCAGGGCTCTGGCATCTCTGGGATACCGTGCGACTCCACGTGGCAAATGCTGCCTCAACCAAGTGTCAATGACAGCGCGTCTCGCAGCAGGGAGCCGCCACGAAAGGCACGTGGTGTGCATCACAAGTGCGCCACTGGTTGGCCTGGTGATTATTGCGTGCAAGCTTACCCCCAGAGCGTCGGTGATCTCCAGGATGGCACGCTTAAACCAACTGACCCTCTGGCACGAGTCCACTTGCAAATGCTCGCCTGAGCGGCACGCGACAGTGTCCCGCCACTGGACCAGGTCCGGGTCGTACAGAGGACCCACACAACCAGTGGCCAGTTGAAAGTCCACCGCCAACTGCAGTACACTGATCCACCTCGTGGGCTCGGAGGGAGCCCACACCGTTTGAACCCACTCCACAACCAATGGGACCATTTGGTGGCCATACTTCTTCTCAAGCTGCGGGAGATGCAAGCGAGGGACGATCCACTCTACCTCAGGGCAAGGAACGAGATTACAGCTATCAGCTGACGGCTGATGCAGCGGTGCTGCTAGTGGTGCAAGCTGAGGCTTACTGGCAATTGCTTCAGCAGACACGCGCTTCTGCACCTCTTGCACAGCATCCCTATGCCTGCGAGCCTCCAAGACCTGCCCTCGGTAGCTCCGATACAAGTCCAAAAAAGCCTCTGGCCTGTCAAGATTAGCGTCGGCAGCTACCTGGTCAGCAGTAGCGTTATGCCTCGCCGCCCACGCTGCCACAAGGTCCTCAGCTTGCTCCGAGTGTGACACGACTTTGACGGGCCAAAGTGGCTCGGTAAGGGCGTGCCACGCCTGATGAAGCTGCGTCCAAAGATCATGGTCCTTGCGATTGGCATGCAACGAGAGCTCGTCACTCGCAAGGGCAACCAAGCCATCAAAGACAACTTTATTATCTACCCACAACCTGGCTGGCCTACAAGCCCATGCAACATACCGCAGTGCGACTATGGCGGCAGTGAGCTCCGCACGCTGCACAGTTTGGACGAGGCCGACCAAGCCTCCACTGGACAAAGGGCGAGATGTATCCGCCGCAGGGCCATCCACAATGATGGCCCCCCAGGCCGCTATACGCAAAGTGGGATCTCGAGCTTCCATGGCTGTGCCATCAGTGAAAAGGTCGAGACACTCCCCTGGTGGCACATGCCTCAACCAAACATTGCTGTAATCAGGCTGCTCACTGAGGGCCTGCCACCAAACTTTCTTCGATCTCACCTCCTGCACCCAGCCATGATGACTCAAACACTTGGGCAAAGCAGTGATGGCATCAAGCACGTCCTGCGGGCAGTCATTACGTTGCGCCGCAAACTGGGGGCACTCCCAAAAACGGTGTTCCACGCTGTCTGGAACTCCACACCAAGGACATTCTGGGCTTACCGGTGCGAAACTAGAAAGCTTGTCCTGGGTGAAGAAAGTGCCGTTGAGGACAATCCTCATCAGGGACACATCCATAGTATGCCACTTCCGCATGGTACCCTTGGACTCCAGGGCATCAACCGTCTGCAAGCCGCTGAACGAAGTACGGGCCGTGGCCTCATGCCCAACCATGCGGGTCCACGCTCGCTGGAGCCTAAGCTGGACCAACTGCAATGGCTCCTCCACCAAGGCAAAGCTGCCTACGTCATCTGTGACACGCAGCTCGGAGTTCAAAGCAAGACCTACCCAATGCAAGCGTTCTACCAAAGTGCTTAGCGGGCCGGGAGCAACGGGGTGCTCCAGCTCCTCCTCTATGTGCACAGAGGCAAGGGCATGGTTGGCATAGACTCGAAAATCGCGGACGGACTGCCATAGCGCACAATAAGCAGGATCCGTGCGCGGGCCTTCCACCAAAGCAAGGTGAACCGCCGGATGAGCCCCGCTACGATTGGCACGCAAGCCCTTCATCGCCCCACTACGCAGCGGCTGAAACTCGGCTAAGGGCACCGAAACTATGCTTATTCCGTACAGGGCTTTGGGCCAGGCAGCCGCCCGGACTGCATGTAGCTTTGCCTCGTAAGGGGCACTGCTGCGGCGCAAATCCGCCCACATGTCCTGCATAGCATTGAATCGGTTGCGCTGAGTGACATTGGTATGGCGCTGGGCAAACTGCATGTGCGCCCCGAGTCCCCTTTCTCCGAGAGTGACACGAAGACCTGACTCGCGCAAACTGGCTCTGCCACCGGCTGTGACAGACCAGGCATAAGACTTTTGCTTGTCCAGCGAAAGGTCAAATGCCTCCACCAGGGACTCAACTGCATGCGCAGCACCGAGGACTCCTGCGACTTGCGGATCGACTAGCTGCCAGTCGTCCACGTAATTGTACACTGTTGTGGACGGGCCTTGCTGATGCACATGCACAACTAGCAGGAAATCAAGGAGCGCAAACGCAACGCATGAGAGACCATCTCCCTCCGGGAAACCTGTGGCACTCAAAAGAGGCGGCGAGTAAGACTGCCTGATCACAAATCTTCTCTGGAGACGGCATAGAGCGCCTGCCCACGCCCTCAGGACACCGGCATCAAAGCCTACCCTCACTGCAAGCCTCAGCACGGGCTGCCTTGGCAAATGATTATAGGCTTTGACCACATCCAACACTATGCCATGCAATGGCTGCTGCGTGGTCAGCGCATCATGCACTCGCTGCTGAACTTCATACCAGAGGCCCTGTGCGGAGCGGCCTGGCAGCGAGCCAAACTCAGAAGCAGAGGCTTTAAGTCCTAACTGGGCAAGAAGCTGTCTGGCTCTGATCGAGCTCCACACTCGATATGGCAAAGCAAGAATGGTTTTTTGGTCTATACTCTCCGACTGATGCGGAGTCTGGCTTCTTTGCCAATGCCGAGATGGCACCTACAAGCATCTGCTCTGGCCATACTCCATCACTTTCAGCGCCTTTGGCCAGTGTGAGCAAACATGCTTCGAGAGCCGGTGGGAGGCGCTGCATGTCTGCCTTACTAACGCCATCAGGCCCTACTGCTGCGTATGCCTTCTTCCGCTGCACTGCCTGCCTCCATTGCTCTCGTGTGAGAGGCGGCAGAGGCGCTTCTGGACACATGGGCACAGCGTCAACAATAGCTTCTGCGGACGCCCAAATGTGTTCGGGAGTGTCACGGTGACGATCCCAGCGGGCGGACCACTCGGCGGTGAAAGCCTGGAAAATGCTAGGCAAGTCCCCACACAATTTATCCTGGCGAAGAGTTGCACCCACATCCTCCTCCTGGACACGTTCAAGCCACACGACCTCCTCCTCTGCGTGGATAACTTGCCGAGGCTGCGCGCCTACAAAGACAGGGCTTGCAACTTCAACCCGAACTGGCTTGTCGAGTACAAGGCTGCAATCTTCCTGGTTTACTGCCGTGACAACCGCTCTCTGAGGCTCCAACAAGACATCTACCGCGGCTGGGCGAGCTTGCTGAATATCACGGAACACCAAACATGGCTGCTCTTTGCGACGCTGCTTTGCCATCCGAATGCGCTGAGTATTGAGCCTCGCCTCAAAAGCACGCACCTCTGCCTTGAAAGCCAGATAGAGGCTGGAGGCAATCGGACCGGTCGGAGGGCCAATAGGGAAAGTGCCGGGCACCCCATACCTGTCTACCATGCGAGCCTTCCACCACTCAGAGAAACTGGGTTGAAAGCCGGGGGCCCTCTGAATGGCAGCCCAAAGTTCCAGACGAGCCGCTCGCGCAGCAGCGTTGCTCGATGGCTGCTGAACACTCTGGGCAAAGGCCTGGAGCCTACGAAGCTGCTTGAACCACCGTGCGTAACTACGGCTGAAACCATAGTAACCTGGTTGTAAATCCCCGTCCCTGGCAGACCGAAGGGGAGGCTTGGCAACCACTTTACGCACATCACGTGTGGCTGCACGGCCAAAGCAAGCTGCGGGGAAAGTCACCCCTTGCTGTTGACAGCTGGCGGACCACCACTGCTCATAGGAGTGCCACACTGCTTGGTACTGGTCACTCGGGGTGAGTGCAGACCAGTTAGGCGGCTCTGAACACTGCCAGGTTGGCACCACTTCGGGCACAGGCCTGGGCTTGCGCCACACATACTCAATCGAGTGCGACGGGAGCTCAAGGTGGACCTTCATCACAGCATGGTCTGCAAATGCAGCCTGGTCCAATTCAAGACCAACCACAAACCTCTGCAGCTCTGGGCTGAGCCAGATGTAATCTTTGACCGTCTTCTGCTTGCATGTGGGCTGTGGGTCAACCCCCCATCGACGAACAGCAAGGGTTTGCGCATCAAGCCATCCTTGGTCCTCCCAAGCAGCAAAAAGAGGTGATTCTCCGGGCTCAAAGTTGAAATCGCCCATAATGAAGCGTGGGCCCTTGGCGCCCCAAATGATGCGATCTTCGAGCTGACCCAAGAGTGCACACGTTTGATCAACTGTGACCCGGGAAGAGCCACGACTCGCGTACCCGTACACTACGGCTCCTTGCACCCACAAGTTACCGAAGAGGCAGCACACTGCAACAACACGACTGGATCTCCAGAGATCCTGATCCCACTGGGTCGGCAAAATTCTCAAGGGACCTGTGGCGGCCACTCCTACCCCTGAGTACTCCCCAGAAAGGGCATAAGCTGCACGAGGTGGCACCGGGTGCCCACTGACGAACCTCGTAAAGCTGGACTTCAAACTCTTCAGCCCTGCACGAAAACGGGCTACACCGGTTGCTGTCAGGTGTGTCTCTGCGAAACCATAGACACACTGACCTGTACTTAAATCATCGACAACACTTTCCTTCCCCACTAATCCGGTCGGATTAGCTAACCCCAACACAGCCGGCCCAGGGTTATTGGCCTCACCTAAGTTGCATTGCTTGGCAAACCGATCAAGGACAGCCAAAGCAACTTGGAACCCCTTGAGGCAAAGCCCTGGCCGGGCATGCCATCACTCATGATGGCGTGGCCTCTTGGCCAGCAGCTCTTCCAATCGAAGCATCTGCTGGTCAAACATGCCTTGCATGGCTCGGCCCTGCTCCTGAATGGAGCCCTGCAGCTGGCGAACCTGACCAACTGTCTCGCCGACTGTGGATTCCAATGTGCGGTGCATGCCTGCAAGCTGGGTCACCTGATTCTCCAGGCGGGTAATGCGATCATCTCCTTCCATGTCAGCATCCTCACTAAGGCTGTGGGTGGCAAGGTGAGTCTCAAGGCGTGAGAGGAGGCGCTGCTCAATCTTATCCAATGACGCCTGCGGGACCGGCACAATGGGCACACTGGGCTGCACACTGGCTCGGGGGGCAGAAACTGGCCCAGACTTCCACGGATCATTAACCGAGAGCGGATCGACCCCTGGGGGGACAGATGCAATGGGTCCAACCTTGCTCGCTGACTGCTTGGTGGCCTGGCGGATAATGACCTCCCCATGCTGGGTGTGAAGCACTTGCTGTGGCGGGTCCTCACACGCTCTCACCTCCCACATCAGGCCTACTCCATCAGCAGAGCCTACCGGCTGGACTGGTTGAACTGTCCAACTGATCTTTTTCATCAGCTTGGCGACACTTGCCCTCTGCGTCCCGTAAGGGAGCGGGCCCACAACATACTCTTTGCGAGCCGCAGCAACCAAGTATGGCGAGCTCGGCTTAAGCACAGCATGCAATTGCTCTGCACCTTGGGCCGCAACACGCACTCCCAGCCGGCCAGCAACCCGGGCTATGCCGCAAATGGCCTCATGTGACTGCGCGACCCGACGGACTTCGGGGAGTATATCACGACATGCTCCCGACTGGGCTGGAGCCCGTCTGCACTCCGGGGCTCCACATAAACCCCTTTCTGGCCTGACCCTCGGAGGAGTCCCTCCAAGCACTGCTTGGGCACCCTCATGCTGACACTGAACTGCTCAGCCACACTCGGCTTTGAAGCCTTGTACATCAGGGTGCCGAACTGGCGCCTCCACAGGTCAATGATCACATCGGTGACCTCAGCATTGTCCTTGGCGTGCCACCGAGGGCACTGACAAGCCTCAGCTGCACATGGCTGCAGAGTGGGCAGGAGGTCAATCAGGGCTTTGATGGGTGCCTGCACTACCTGCTGCCACTCACACGGGCATTCATCACGGAAAAGCACGATGCGGACCGTTGCAGCATCCACGGCCTCGACTTGATGCACATTGGTTGGCGTGAACTTCCGGACCGGGACTTTACCAATCTGCACCAGGAGGGCCCTCAGCAGGACCGGCTCACACGTGGCCCTACACTCGGCAGGGAACTGGACCTTCTCGACGGCAAGCTTGCGGCCTGCTGGCTGATCACACTCACCAAGGACAAGCAAGGCAAGTGCCTTGGACGACACCACTGCATCCGCATCCAGATACGGCTGGGCCGCTGCACAATCGACCAAGACAAAACCTTCAGCCGCCTGACCAATCTGATCAACGGTGAGCTGGCCGATGAACTCACTGCTTGCATTCTGAAAACACCTATGGTGCACCTGAACGTGATCAGGCAGAACTGGTTGCTGGGGCGGCTTGCTCTGCTTGCTGCCTGCAGCGGCTTTCTTTCCAACGGGCTTGCCTATCTTCGCCCTCTGGGCAATCTGTTGCTGCAGTTCGTCCGGAAGGACGAGTTGGACACGTGGCTTAGCGTCGTTGCTCAGTTGCTTCAATCTCGCCCAGGGCTGGGTAGCCTGCAAAGCACTGTGCACGGGCTTGGCACCAAGCTGCTGAACAACAAACTTTGCCCTTTCATCTACTCTGGCTGGGAAAACTCCATGCTCGCGCAAGATGGGACTGAGCTGGTCCATCAGCGCCACCTTGTCGATTTCCCTCCCTGCTGCCAGTAGGCAAGGCACAGGGACAACCCCACTAACTGCCACGTGCTGCACAAAGCGGCTCCGCTGGGAATGCAAGGAATATGCACTCCCCTCTTCCACCTTGGCCAAAAGGCAATGATGCACGAAACGGATCGCGGCCGCACCACAACTACCCTCCTCCAGGTGCGTCCAAAGCTTATGGCGCACATCCATACTGACGGCTTGGACCGCTTGGGCGAATGTGGTATGCAGTTGGCGCAAGGGGAGCACCTCGGGCACCGTGTCACGGCAATCGACCTGCAGCGAGTGTCCATGCTTGGCATACAGCACGGGGATCCAATGCTGCTGATGCCTGACCACAGTGATCACAACTGCTTGTGGCTCGTCTCGGCTCGGGAACGCAAGCCACCACCTACGCAGGAGGTCCATGGATGGGGCCTCAAGCATCTGTGATGCAAACACAGGCGGGATGATGCCTACGGAATGATCTGCGGCAGTAGAGGCAATGGCCTTAAGATGAAACATCAGCTCATCTTCAGCAAACCAGGCACCTTGAAGCAACAACATTTCATTGCGCTGATCTGCTCTCCACTGCATCTCAGTGATGCTACCAGTGACAGAGGCAGCAGTGCAGGATCGCATATGCTCCCTGTACTCAGCAGTGGGTCTTGGCACACTCAATTGCCCTGCATCCGGCTCAATCTCAGGCTGAGAGGCATCAGGAACACAGTGCACAAACGACTGGCCGGGGGCAATGACCTCATCCATCGGCACCAAATCTCCATGCACGTCAAGGAGGCGAAGGCCCTCAACTTGACTCACGCGGCTTTCAGCCTCACACAGCTCAGCACAGGTAGTGCCTGGGGGAACCAACACGACAATGCTTTTTGCGTGGGCACTAGACCTGACAAGCACTGCGATGGTATCACTTGGCTCCTCTTGGCTGGATGCAACGGGTGGCAAATTCGGGGCTGCCGACGGCCTACGTGGCTGAACCGTCGGCGAACCGTCGGCACTGCAGTTGGGCACCAAATGCTCCGCGCTTTCTGGATCAACTCCTGCAGATACTGGTTCAGAGCCTCAGATGGCACAGGCGGTGAAATGCCTGAAAGGCCAGCAACTCGCTTTGCGATATGTGTGAAAATCCACACACTCTGAATCGGCGATGCAAGCTGCCCCACTCCGGCCAAGGCAACTCTCATGTTTGGACCAAAATCGATGGATGGATCCAAACCACACCACAGCGCAGCTTCGGCGGGGTGCGAGTGCCTCACAACCTCTGTGATGCCATCCGGTTTGACTCCATATGGAACCAAAACAGCATGCAATCCCTGCGCTGACAGCCTCTCATCAGTGAAACCTGCGGACCTACAGGTGCAGGCGCAAGGATATACTTGATTTCCCCAACTGTGCAGAGCCGTTGCAAGCTGCTTGTGGGTGGTCACCAGATAAGCGTCCCAGCTGCCGCCATGATCAAGAAAAATGCGTTCCTCATAGGTGGTCAGGATCAGCTGGATGATCTCGGCATGCGGCCATTGCTTGACGTGCGGCATTACGGAAATCGGCATGTGCCACTCCTGCAGCAGTGGCAGATCCGGAATCGCATCCGGATCCAACCAGGGCACGGTAATGACACACCACCATCTGGACCGCCGACTGCACCATGTCCTCTGGAGATGCAACTCCGTCTGACGCACAACGTGGCCACGCTGATTGGCGTACCTGGTGATGAGCTCCTGCGCCCAGTGATTGCTCTGGATTTGGGGCACACACTCGAGGACCAGGATGTCCACTTGCAAAAGCACTCCCAGGTTCAGGACTGCCGGCAGAGTGCTGGCCCTCTCATCCATTTCCTGCTGACGGTTGCCTAGCCTCGAATATGGCTGGCACGACACCCCGGCGCACAGCGTGCCAGCTCCAAATGCCAGATTGACCAACTCGGCTTGGACCTGCGGGTCGCAAACGTCTCCCCGAACGACAGGTGGCGGCGTGTTCCTATGCAAAATGTCCACGAACGGCTGTTTCCACTCGTTCATGGCCACCGTGTGCCACCCGGACCAGGCTGCTCCCCTGCACATAGCCCCAATGCCAGCGCAACAATCCACCAGCTGAAGCAGCTGCTGGATTGTGCGAGGCTTCACCTCATGGACGGTGCTGCTCTCCTCCCGGCGCAAAACTGTCCAGGCGCCATCCTCCACCTGTACCCACTGGATGAGCACCAAGTCCTTGCTGGTCTGCTCCATGATGCCCTCCACCCTGACCAGCTGGGTCCCGATCCGGCCTATGTGGAGGCCCGGGCCCTGCACCGACACCAGCTCCACAACCACATTGATTGTGGCCATGGCGGACCACCCAAGTTTGGCTGCCCCCGTCTCGCCGACTGGGAGGCACTTGGGCCGAGACTGGTCAAAACTCCTTACACGCTCATAGTTCCCTGAATAGGAATCATGACAATGGTTATTAAGGATCCTTGCTACCAGCTGTATGACTATCCCGGTCAACGCCAAGTACAGGAACCGGTTAGTCTTCTGACCATGGCACGAGTGGGGATCCCCCGAAAAGGTGCCAACCCGCTAGGAGCTGCTGTTGCGTCGACAGCTGCAGCAGTCTCCGCTGGCGATGCTGCATCAAAGCGTGGCAGGGGTCAGGCGCCTTCGTGCTTCCGGTCTCCACATGGGCTCAGCTTTCCTAATTATCCCTGCTACCCTAAATACGATAGGGGTTTGTCTCCAGGGAATTGTGCAAATGGGTGAAACCAGTGTTTCCCCTTTTCAACCAACCCCAAAAATACGGATCCCTAAGTAGATAATATCCCGCCCCGAGTAGACGGGCCCAACGAAATGAGTAGTTCAGATGTGGATTGGTCCAAATGGTTGCGCACTATGTTTTTTTGGTGCCGAAAGCGAATCGATTTGTTGACCTGTTTTTGTAGAGATCCACTTTGAATCAAGGCTTGGACGCCATGAATCGCCAGCTTGTTCATGTGTAGCGATGGCAGCCAACACAGAATCCTGCTTGTTGCAACTAAACTCAAATGACATGAGGAGGTGCCTGAATAGAAATTAAGGACTTGATACTCTTTCATACCCCTGGCCCCTTAAAAAGTGTTGTACCCCCCAATTCAAGCAGAATGTTGGTTGCACGGAATTCCCTCCCAGCAAAAAGCATGCGATACTTGGGTTCCTTGTGCGCTTTAAATGTTAACCTAGACCTGCAGTGGGGCATTTCCCTTTTTTTGGAGGGGCAGACCCTTTGAAATGCCGACCACCAAAAAACAGGTGCCCTTTTTCTCCTATGGCCTCCTGGGGTAGAGACAAACGCAATCCATGCCCTAGAGGGTCCACGTCCTTGAATGCAACCCCTTTTCCATATTATGTTCATGACCATAGTGAGTCAATCAGTTGCAAGTGGCACATCCTCGAATTGTTGGCAATTGGGTAATCTTCAAGCGTGTCCCAACTGTACCGCATGCAAACTGATTGTTAGCGTATCGCATGGAACATCATGTATAGCTGCGGCAACCGAGCCTCGTGATTTATAGTTAAGCTCAACCCTTCACAGTTTTTGTCGGGGTCCCTTTTTAACGGGAGATCCCAGGTGCTTATTGGGTTTTGCCAACTTTCGGCATCCCATCCCGTCCCAGCTGCCTGAAGTAAGAAAGTTGCAATGGACACCTGCAACTTGGGGAAATCCGTGGCCGGTGTCGGATCCCTGGTTTCCTGTTGGTTTCCCTTCAAAATCAACCAAAAGGAGGTTCCCCAAGAAAAGCATGGGTTTTCATGACAGGAGCCAGACCCTGGTGGTAACCGTGTCCACCTTCTGCGGCGATGCCCTCACCGACATTCTCGCGCTGCTGCCGCTGGAATCTTAGCACCCGCTGATTGGTGTCCATTTTGGGACCCTTTGTGGGTACGTGCTCAATGTCCAAGTTCGATCCAAGTCAGGTTTGGGGGCCCTTTGTTCCACCCGAAGCCGAGCATCTGTTTCTTGCCGTGCCACAACGGAATCCACAAGATCCTACCCGTTAAGAGGTTCATTTGTGTGGTTCCCCACAAAGGTTTACTGAGGATTGGCAACGAGCCTTCATTTTGAACAGCCCGAACTGTAGATGAATGGCACCATTTCAGGGGTTTGCAGGAAAAGCGTTTGGAGGTGTTTCCCCATTTAGCAACAGAATGCTTGCGTTGTTTTTGTTCTTGGTTGACCATATAGACATATACAAAAACATGATGTGTTTTGTCCAACGCTTTGACCCGCTCGAGGCAAGCCCTGAGCAGCGTGCGATCTGACGCTCCGTAGAAAAAGTCGCCGGGCGCAGCGCTCGCGTAGAGTGGGGGGCTTTCTCGATGCTGGATGTCAACAATTTCGGTTTCTGGGTGATATGTTTTCTGTGCCCAAAGGGAAGCCACAAGGGGATGGGTGATGTCTTCCTTGTTCCAGAGAGCTTTGCTTAGCACGTCCGTTTTGGGGCTCCTGCAAACATATTGTATATTTCAAGGTAGGCTAAGTATGAAGCAACATCTTCATATGTTCTGTGGACCCCTTTGGCCCAAGTGTTAGTCAAGGTTCCGAATGACTAATCTACTGGGACCAACCAGGAAAGCAATCTGAAAAAAATGTACCACATACAGAAGACATCTAATGTAAAATACGTAGCAGTGATGCAACAAGCGGAACAATACCCCTGCCAAACTATAGGCGCACAAGGACATTGCCAAACGTGGATGGGACAGTGTCTTGAAAGCTGTTGGATGACAATGAAGCGGCGCTGGTTTGCCAGATTGGCTGCTCCCAAAGCCTTTGCATCGCTACCTTCCTTGTTTTGCTTCTTTGCTCCAATGACCGTCTGAAGTGGTGGACATCACACTACCAAAGCGATGAGAGCGTCAAACGTGCATGCTTGCAGACCGCCAACGTTCTGCAGACTCGGGGTTGACTTACCACGTGCGATTTCCTGGTCGCGAGCCCTTCCCTCTCGTTTGAGTTTGCTCAAGATGAACCCCAGCTGATTCATCCGGGATAGTTGCCGTTTGGGGAGAGTGGTAATGCTGGGGTACTGCAGATCAACGTGCAACCCAACACGTCCTTCTTTTTTAAGAGGCACTGGGCTTTTGGAAACCAAAGGGACACCGAAGCCACCGGCACCTCACCAACCCTCGCAGGTCATGCAGAGCATGGGCTTCGACCTGAAAGAGGACAGACTAAGGGACTGAGCGTGAGAAGTAGTCCGTGATTTTTTGAGCATCCGAACAAGAGGCCATGCTTGGTGAGAGGTGTGTCCCCTGAAAAATCAATTATTCCCCTGCGAATTACCATGGGTTGGCCAAAACGGGGGCTCACCCAAGAGGACATTCCTGTTGTGATGTTGGTTGGGTTCCGTGTTAGTCTGTAAGGGAGTAGCTCAAATCGAACAAATTTCGTGACGGGAAGCTGAAAACAGATGTAGTGCCGTCTTTTTGTTCAGATTCGATCAAGTCCCAGACCCCATGTTCAACACCGAAGGGCCGTTGATGTCCCTTTCTGGTCAGCGTTGAAGAAAGATGCCAGACCAGGTTGTTGTTCCCCCTTTCTCCTTTGTTGGGGGGAACTGGTTGCACCCCCCTTTGAAGTCTACCAAAAAGGACATCGCACCCTTTTTCTCTGCCATGGAAATGCACTGGCTCGCCAGAGGTGCCTTTTTGGCCCAATTCAAGGCATGGTGGAGAACTGGGTACCACTTTCTGCAAGGGAATCCCCCTGACAAATTTACAGGTAATGGGAATATTTTGGAAAAAGGAAGACCAGACCTCACTGGGGCATTTGTTTCCGTTTTGGGATGGGTTTCCCTCATGGATTTTTGGGGTGTGGGTATGGAAAGGGTGATAAATCAGCATTTGATCGGTAGGTGGACGGGGCAGTCACCACACGAATCGAACACCTGAGGTGGCCGAATCGAAGGCTCTAAGGTGGGTGTGCCTTCAAGTTCCCAGGTGATCAGCTGAGTGGACAAAATCCATCCACGCACCTCTGGTTTGCCCCAGTTTCATCCAGGGTTTCGTCTTGCATTGGAGTGGCTTGGTGCCGCCAGGATGACGTCGCACTGCTCGGCAACATGTACTGCGATTTGGGCCCCAAGCCTCAGAAATCGGTTGCCGAGCAAACGCTCTCGGTGTTGTTCGAGTCTCAAGCAAACCTACTTTTGGATAAGCATTGCTCCGAACCTATGACCAAGCCACCGTAGAAATTCGGGAAACAGGGTAAGGGGCCGGGGTCCTTTTGTTTTCTACAGGCCAAGTATTGCCAGGTTCTTCGCAGCAACCCGTGATCGAGATTTTATCCAGCAGCTTTGATTACCTCCTTTTGATTTCCTGACCTCCTTTGGGATTGAAGGGACACCGATAAACCGACCATGTGACTTGCGAGACACCTTGTAATGCCCAGACTGGAACAGTGCCAAGATGGGCAAGAAACCAACAAGTTAAGAGGTTGATTGCCCTGTGCAAGAGCTGCGGAGCACAATGAATGGTCAAACATACTGTGCTTACGCACGTGTGTATCCTCCTTCGCGAGATTCTGGTTACTGCCTGCCTTGTTTCTCCGTATCTTTCCAGCATTTTCGCAGTCAGGTCACACAAGCAGGTACTAAGATTGCAGTGATGCGTTTCTATGTTAGGTTTTACTATATTTTACGTGGCTATAGATGTGGACTTGATGGAGTTGAGTTGTGGGGGGGGGTGGTCACAGCTTGCCACGCTGGCTTGATTTTTTTTTTTGGACCTAGTGGGTTCCATGGTTCGACACCTCTGGGGGCAGGTGGAGCCAGCCACGCGTCGAACACTAGCGGTAC